CTGATAACTCTCGGTTCTGAATCTCTCGCTCTTCCGACGTGAGCAACCCCGGTCAGTTCCGGTGAAGGGAGAGACGACTGGCCCGAGACACAGTTGACTGTACCCTGTCAGAGAGATGTGGATGGGGTGGGGGAAAATTGTTCATGCACGTCTTAGGGACTTCTGTGTTTGTGAGCAAGAATGGAGGTTGTCTTTCCCATCCGGCTGCTCTGATACCACTGTTGTCGTTAGGGGTTGTCGAGAGCTAAAGTTGCAGTGCTGAACTTACTTACTAGGCATACATCTTGTTGAAATTATTTGTCGTTCCTACCTTTCTGTTTTCAGAAGTTCTACTCTTACAGTGTGGGAGGATTTCTTTGTGAATGCAATTTCGACGTTAGAATAAGGCAGTAATTCGTGCTGAGCAACCAGTATATCGCTATGACTTGAACAACTCATATTTGAATGAAGTTAATGCAGAAGTACACCCTTTGAAACGAATTTCAGCATCGCGCAAAGAATGAAGGCTCTGAACAATGCTGACCAAGTGGCATTTTTATCTTAGTATGTCTGAACAATGACCTTCATTGTCTCGTTGTAATGATTCACGAATTACAGATGACTGTATCGTACTTAATTGACTTTGTCAACAGGTGTTAATCGTTGGCGCCGGACCGTGCGGCTTGAGAATGGCTATCGAATGCGCTCTGCTCGGCTGCAAGACGGTAGTGGTGGAAAAACGAGCACGATTTACTCGCAATAACGTTTTACACATTTGGCCGTTCTTGATCGAGGACTTGCGTAGTCTTGGGGCGAAGCTCTTCTATCCCAAGTTTTGTCCGGGATCGATTAATCACATAAGTATGTGAGTGGTGGTTTTTATTTATGGTGTAAGTTATTACTAGTGTTTATTTGTCTATTTCATATGTAAAATTGCAAGTATTTTTTTGCTCTAATATATATTCATCTTCTGATATAGGTAATTGTTCTTGTGGGGAGTATATGTCCGCACTGATTCTCAGCTTGGTTTTGCGACTTTATAGTAATAGTGACATTTTAACAAATACACTGTTTGTCAGGCATAGGTTTTTTTTTCGGTGATTGTTGCGGTTATTTCGTTAGTCGATTTCTCTAGTTCGTAAATGTAGTGTCTTTCCAAAAGCTGCAACATGAGTAGGAAGACAACTGACATTCTTCTAAAATACTGTCCAATATTTTCTTGTTTCCTGATTTTCATAGCTGAAAAAATAAAGATTGTGACATTTATTAATGGCGGTACATCCAGTTGTTTTTTATTAAAAATTCATTTTACGCTGCTACAGTTCTTCTTTTCGTACGTCATTTAAGAGAGAGTACTTTGACGAAATACCCGAAGCATTGGGCCATCTGAAAAGTGTCAGAGTTGCATGAGTCGATAGAATGCAATGAGAGGTATCTGAGGAGTCTGGAATAAACGGAGTGCCGGCATTAGTGATTCTTTTTGGATTGGTATGGCAGAATGAAATCTTTAATGATTGGGCGGAAGATGTTGTGACCCACGGTATGCGGATCCAAATAACTGCCGTCAAATCAGTCTATTGCGTGTTAGGGTGAGCACTGTCAGATAGCATCCTTAAGAAGACCTTGGTTGAAGAGCGGTCTGTATTCAGGACAGACAACATGCCAAAATGTTTAGACCAGATATTGACAGTGAGACAGCTAATGCAAAAGAAGAGAGATTGGGGATCCAAGTTCTTTGCTGTGTTCGTCGATTTCACAAAAACATTTCACATGCTCTGAACGGTGTTTTGTAGAAAGAAGTTGAAGAGTGTGGAATCACACAAAAGGTTATTCACCTAATTAAAAGCATGTTTGACAGTTCGTCAGGTGAAGTGCGAATTGGTGAAAGGTTCGTCAGATTCTTTCTAACAAAATTCGGAGTAAGGCAAGGAGGAGTTGAATCTCCACTGCTGTTTGCGATGTTTCTTGTCTGGATGCTCCAGCTAGTATGTAAGGGTGATGTTTCTACCACGGTAAGATTAGGCAGCGTCCGTAATAAACTCTTGCATTGGTGGATGATATCGTATTGCTTGCAGACAACTTCAGAGCTGCTTCATTACTGATCCTAACGCTGAAACAGGTGTTCTGCTCTTGGTATCTCGATTATCTTAAGCGTACGAAGTGAGTGGTAGTTGGTAGAAGCCAGACTAACGTCTGTCTGAGCTTGAACACAGAAGGTGTGGAAAAATCCCCATAACATTAGTATCTTGAGAGTGCACTGGGTGCAGACGGAATTAAGCGGTGCTGTGCATTGGCATTAGCGACGTGCAACAAGTTATCCAATCTCCGATAGGATGAAGGTGTTGTCAGTATCACTAAGCTGCGAATGTACGAAGTGGGAGTTTTGAACATCTTGCTCTATGGCTTGGAGACGGCGTCACTTAGTTAGTCTAAAAACAGAAAACTGGACGTGGCGGAAATAAAAATTTGCAGTTTGGTGTCAGGAGTGAAATGGTACGACTTGGTTTCAAGTGTTGTTGTAAGGAGAGAGGTTAGAGTAGAGATATGCGCTTAATATGATAGTGAGGCCAATGTCAACCGAAGGCTCGAGGATAACTTTACGAAGCGGACACTAAGCGCAAAGCTTGAAGGCAGGTGGCCACCAGGAAGAACTCCAACAAGATGGGTGAATCTCGTTAAAATGACATGGCATCGAAAAAACTGAATAGTGAGTCTTTATTCGATTAAAATGCAATGTTTGTACGTCACCAAGGAGTATTGGTTCGAAAACCATAGCGATGTCTGAATCGCGTTGTGCTGGGTTGAAGCGATCGGTCACTTCAAAGTGGTTTACGCGTACATATTCTTGACGCCGTGGACTTGTTCCTCACTGACTTATTATGATTCTGTTGATAATGCAATGACACGTAGTTTCAGTGCGTAAAATGTTTTGGTACAGGATTTAGGTTTCACCGCATGTTAACATCTCTGTGAGCTGGAAACAATGTACAATATATGTCGGTGCGGTAATACAAGATAGTCAAAATATTATTGCAGTTGTCTTTTATTTTTGTTTGAAGTTACTTAAGATTGTGTGACTATCCCCCTGTATGTTGTTTGAATTTGACAAACGTTGGTAACATCAGCCGAAACCTTAGTCCTCGGCCCGAACGTTTTACCCCTGTATATTGTTTATAGTCTTAATGCATTGCTCATTAATGTAATTTAATATATAACAGTATTTATTTACCTTAATGTATTTGCTTAATATTTGAAAAGCTTCAGCTATTCTTTACTTAATTTTCACTGTCAGTGAATATTTTGAAATTTCTCATATGCATTAAATGTGCACTTTCCAGGCATATGTCACCTGCAATATATTTTGTTGAAAGTAGCCCTTCTTCTGGGAGTGGAAATTCACGAAGGCGTTTCCGTCGTCCAGTTGGTACCACCGACCAATCACGAAGATGGCATTAGTGAGAGTTTGCTTGTTATTCGTTTGTTTTGGTATCCGTTCACCCGTTTGGGTTGTAGTCAGCGGCTGGCGAGCTGAAGTTTCACCAAGATCCCACCAGCTGACCGACTACGAGTTTGATGTGTTTGTAAATGCCAACGGCCAGCACACTGGCGTACCTGGTGCGTTTCTCCAAACCCTTCGTCGTTCTTGAACCTTTGATTTGAACATTACGGTAAATATTAATTTTTAGGTATTCGGTGGAAAGAGTTCAGAGGAAAACTGGCGATTGCGATTACGGCTAACTTCGTCAACAACCATACGGAAGATGAAGAGAGGGTACCGGAAATTTCTGGCGTTGCTTACATTTTCAAGCAGCAATTTTTTCGTCAAATGCGCGAGAAGACCGGAATTGACCTAGAGAACATCGTTTATTATAAAGACGAGACGCATTACTTTGTCA